AATCTTTGTTGCAGGACGGTATATGGTCAGCCTCCAAAAGATATGAGAAATATGGTGATCGATTGGAAAGAAGAGTATGGAATCGATCTGAAAAATCGACCCTGCCCATACGATTTCCCTGCATTTGAGGGCGATAAGCCACCGGATTACGACGAAAAGGTGACGTGCCCACTTATCAGCAAAAAAATAGAAACTGGTGAACGGGAATGTGCATAACTTTTAACGGAAAAACCACATCAAAAAATGTTGGATATTCTTGTAGGTCATTGGCTTCTTTCTTTTAAATTCGAAATGCTTAGGATATAAAGAACTGAATTACGCGTAACGGCATTTAGAAAAGAGACCAGAGCACAGTGGAGAAGGAGTCGGGTGGAGGAGCGCCAAAGGAAGACGGAGCTGGCAGGAAGCGCAAGAGCAAAAGCAAGCCTGACGGTCAGTGTGTTACCGCTTTCAACTAGTTATAAGCAATGATGTACTCGCAGCAGTCCTCAGGTGTACACCCAGTCTCAGGTATTAGTTAGTGAAAATCGGGCTTCTGCCCCTTCAGTTCTGTCACTTCCGTTGTTTTATAGCATAGAAGTTATTGCAGGCAGAAGGAAAAAGAGCAGCGGCTTGGGACGAAAGAAAAGTGACGGTCAGAAAGGTGGCAAAAAGAAGCCACGTCGGTCTGCCAATGCTTTGGATGAATGCAGCCTCAGTGACAAATGAACGAGTTGTCGATACCGGGATTCTAGGTCCAGTCAATTTCTGGCGTTACATGTCCATCCATACATTGAGTTTTGTGTATTACAGCAATGTGTCGTTTGAGCACAGAATAAACCTTCTCGCGGTCACCGAGATATACCGCAGCATATTAACACTATCACAATGATTATGCTGGATGCAGCCGTTGTTCATCAGTCTCTAGAACGCACAGGCTGAATTTCTTTGTCAAGCACACAGGCGTAAAAAAATCCCTGAATTTGGCTAATTTCAAGTGAATGCATTTCTCAAATCCATC